CATAAAATGCTGTCAGCCAGGTAATCCCGATTATCTAACCTCTCCGATTCAACATGGGCCTTTCAGTTGTTTGCTGAGGACACAATTATAAGCAGACATCTCCCATATAGAGAAATGCCCAGACATGATGGGAGATGACCAAAGTGCGTGGAATGAGCACTCGCATTATTAAAGCGGTATTAACATTACAACTGGAGAAGATTCCCCGTGTTTCTTTGGGACACAATACTGTTTACAGGCTATTGGAGGTAAACGTGCATTCACAACAAGTTATCACAGATGTTCTCATCTTCCTGCAACAAATCCTTTCAGCTTATCCATAGCCTTAGCCATGATCTCAGGCTAAACACAGAAAGCAGCAGGGAATTAATTCCCCTACATAACTGTGGTTTCCACACACCTTTGAGCAGAAACTTTTATACACAGGACCAACCTCTTCCTTTTCTTTTGGTGTTTACTTAATCTATTTTTTTCTGGCTTTATGATGGTCTACGTGAATGAATGTAAGTATTGTACATATACACAAAAAAATCTTTTTTAAAATCCCTAAGATGATTTTCTTTATGTGACCAGGGGGGGAGAAATAAAATACATTATTTGACATAATACTTCTGGGAATATTTTGCAGCAGTAACACTGCAAGAAAATAAAAGCCAGGCCTCTGACATCACCTGACTACTCACTACCAGAAAAAGAGGTGCTCTTAAGCCTGATAACCAACAAACTACACAAAGAACCTCAGACATCTAAGGACAGATTTTCTTCTCAATCACTATTTGTAAAGAATTTTCTTCAATGAAGAAGTAATCAAAACCGCTAATACTCCCAAAACTTATGCTAGGTATTTTGTATGATACTATGTGTAAATAAAGGGACCATATAATGGTCCATGTAAATAAAAAGTTTCGTTGTATGATACTATGTGTAAATAAAGGGACCATAAAAAGTTTCATGTGAGCATGAGTTCTATTCAAAGGGGAAAGTACAACTGCTAGAACAGCATACCTCACTGGCAGACATGTTCTTCACCTGTTCTGGTTTTAATTCTGTAAAAATAAAGGAAGATCGGTGAGTTCCATAATAAAACTTTCATCACTTTGACAACTAAAGCACGTTAAAAGCAGTTTTATTCTGAAAAAATGCCACAGTTAGAAATTATACCCCTCTGCCTCAATACAATCTCCTGTACAGCAAGGTACCTCCTTCTTCCCTATTTATCAGCTCCTCAACCAGGCTGCTCCCACATTTAATCACTGCAGATACAGTACAAAGTGAGGACAGAAGTACTTCCTTCTTCCTAAAGTACAGGGAACATCACACAAGCATAACAGAGCTGCCTTCCCCCATATTACTCCTGGTACCTACAACCCTCCTACCCCTCAAACATGCAGAATTTTCATGACACAGAAAGGTATCGTCAAGCCCAGAATACAGAAATAAAATCAGTCAGGGTGCACAGGAGTGCTTCTTGCCCTGTACAGTACTGGTGGGATCTAATCATTCACATATCCTTCACCTTTTTACTTTTTTTTTTCCACTTGCCACACTGTTATGGTATCAACATATTACAGCAAACTTTTTGATCTGAGAGTGCAAGAAAAAGAATCTAGGCAGGGTTGACAAGGCTAACATTAAAAAACATTTTACAAAATGAAATGGTTTCTATGGAGCAGGTGAAAGAAATAGGTAGCACAACATTTCATGGTCTCTTCTCAAAATGGACTTGCAAGTGAAGTGATTTGTCAGCAAAGTAAAGCCTGCACGCCAAATGCATACATTATTCATTCAATTACTCTAAACAAATAAACTTGAAATCTTAGGAGGCATGATGTCTCTTGTGAGAGCCATTTAATGCAATTCCGTTTCCCAGTTACTATGCAGGATTTTGGAAGATATGCCTTACAATCTCAATAGCTGAAAGTAAGCAGGTAAAAAACCATTACTTTCCAGCAGCTGCTTTCAAACAGATAGTGCACTGGCAAAACTGCATGCTATGGGACTTTTGACTCAATTAAAAAAAAACCCCAAAACCAAAAAAACCCCACCCACAAAGCATGCACAGGCCTCTCCTCCCCACAAATCATTTAAGAGAGCTGCAACAACTTTCATTTACACGTACTAGGCTGACATTACAGAACACTTCTGCTCTGGCTGCCTTTAGTACCCTTCTGTCAGATAGGACAATATATCTGCAAACAGAAAACTAACACCAAATCTTCACAATCTTTTCACAAAATCCCACTACTGATCTCCACTAAACAAAATCAGCCCTTTCAGATGTGGCTACTGGACACATAATAACTAGCTAGTGAAACAGAATAAAGGGGGAAGGTTGGAAAAGAATATTCACTTCTCATGAAAACCGTCTTTTCAAAGATGGAAATGTCACAGGAACAATAAATATAGGTAAAACTCTACTTGACTCACAATTGTCATCAGGATCACAATTCAACATTAAGAAGATTTAAAAATTTTAAAAAACTCTATGCCATTCAAACCCTATCCTAAAAAAAAAAAAAAAAGAAACATAAAATTGCTTCTGTTTTGGTACTTCCTTCCTTTAGACTTGAGAGAGATCTGCCCACTTTTTATAAAGATGAGTAGCAGTCTCTGACTGCATTACTTAAGTAATAATTTAGATACAACAGAGCTGACACCAACCTAGGAAAGATGCACTAGTTAAAAACCCCACAAATATGTGAAAAACACTTCACCCTGCTTTCCTCTTAAGACACAAAAATTGGCTGTTTCACTTGCTGAGGTACTGAAGGGCTTAGTGTAAGGTAAGTCTTATAAAGATGCTATTATGAGGAACAGATCAAAATCCAATCTAAAAAGCTTAATTTCAGAGGTTTAAGAATTATAGAGATCTAGGAAAATACAGTATCTCTAATATCGAGGGCACTGAGTTTTTTCAAAGCCTAAATAAAAAGCTATGCAGCTTACCTCGAATAGGGCCCAGTGCTGCATCCTTGGCTAACGCGGTTAAATCACTTCCAGAGTATCCATCTGTCATTCTTTGTCAAAAGAAAAATTGGGGGAAAGGAGGAAGAAAAAAAAAACCAACCTGCTTCAAATCATATCAATTTAATTGCAGATGATTAAAATGTTACTTAATCAAAACTATTATTTTGACGTTGTTTTGCAAGTTTAATAAACCAGAAGTGCATTAAAACACAAGTGACCCATATTTAAGTCTTTCCCAGACTAAAGTACAGATATTTAAGTCCCAAATAACATTCTAGGAAAAGCAAAAAGATAGCAACCAGCTTGGATTTGTAGATGAAAATTAATCTCAAGTACATTCACTATTTCTGTTAGGAGAATGCCCTAGCAGTAGTTTATCAGCCTTTGTCATAGATTAATATAAAAGTAAAAACTCAGCTGTCCCGTAGTCTTTCAACCCAATCAAAACAATGAGAACCTAATACCACACTTTTATTACGATGTGATCACATGCCCAGTTTTCTGACTAAAACTATGTGCGATTTCAGTTGATATCAGAAAACTTAGTTTCATAATGGGAAGGGGCTTTTTACCCACATTTTCCCAATCAAATACGAAATTGAAAAGAATCTAAAGTTATCCAGTGCTTGTTCTGCTATGTTGGTAAGACCTTCAACAAACCTAGCAATTGACGAGCAAAGAAAAGTTGCTTTTGATTTGACACGCGTGCCAAGTGCAAAACTGGTACTGCCTTTTTGCATCAGGGAGGAGAGCTGGACTGCTTGGGGGACGGGTGGAGAGAAGCATCCCCCTCCCTCCTCCTCCTCCTCCAAAAGAAAAGCACTGATGAGCAGGTTTCAACAGAAACCCAGACAGGTGGTGTAGTTTATAAAAAAATATATAAAGCATATATTTTTTATATATATATAAAAGCATATATAAAAACACTTTCATATAGCCTGACAGGAGACCATCTTCTCAAAATACATGCAATTCACTCTTAGCAAGTGTTATCACTATCTGATGGTTTATATTAGTTACATTTTGAATGAACAAAACTGTCTAAATGAATGCAGCAGATGACTGTATTTAGTATAGTCACAAAATACTTACCTAGCTAGTTGTGCCAACTCTTTTTGGGTCAATGGGCTTCCTTGCTTGCTTAGAAGATTTTTTAGCAAAATCAATCTTGTCTGAAAAGAAGATACATTTATCAGACGTAAAGCTCATTTTCACGGTACACTTAAAATTCTGTTGCAACAACAAAACTACATGTTTGTCAAGTTAGCTTTTGTGCTTCACTGGTTTAAACTTGCCTATAGTGCCTTTGTGATTAGACCGTACACCACCATCTCTGCAGGGGAAGAGATAGGGATTTGGTAATAATGAGATCAAGGGTCGAATCACTTCAAGAATAGTACATTAGAACCCTCATCAAAAGCCCTAATCTGCTGTTGAGCTGAAAAATATTACTGTAAGACAGCTACTTTCGTCTTTTGCAATAAATACTCTTCCTCCAGCCAACCAAACTTGTTCCTGCAAGCCCTACTTCAGACTTGTCTGTGCCTGCCAGTATGTAAGCAACACTTCACTAGCCAAGAAATACTGAGTAGCTACTTCCAGATTTGCTACTAGCACATGTAAAAAAATAAAAGTTAATTCACAGAATTGTAATCATCCTAGGGCAAGTTAAAAATAGCCTGTGAAATGTATTGTATACTCTTTTTAAATAAAATTGATCTTAAAATGATGAAAATGCATGGAAAACAATACTTACCTCCTCATTTGGTAAAGACACATATACCCGTTTGGTGAATCGTCTAGGAAAAAAAAAAAAAAAAAAGATATATTCACACATGCTTTTATAACTTTTTAGTGCATTCAGATCTAACATTTGGTTTGATAAGTGTCAAAACTTCACTTATATCATCAAATTCTAGGGAACAGAACTACAGATTTTAAAAAAATACAACCACCAAATGAACAATATGAATGAGCCCCTTGTGTCACCTTACTCCAATATGAAGTTATGAGACTCCTCCCAGAGAGGAAAAACTCTAAAGGAGGAAATACCACTGACTACCAGCAACAAAATGAAGCATCTCTTCACTGCACAGAAGTCGTCTTTGGTATCATTAAAAATGTGTTTTATGTGTCCAGACAGCGCTGACAGGCCTATTTTCCTCAACCAGGAATGAAAAGAGAAGAAAGTATGAGAACTTGTAGCAAAAAAGTCCTAAGGCAAATCTACAGCAAGATCTGCAACTGCATGGGACGTCACAAGCCCAACATTCACAGAGAATACATACTGGATTTCACTGGTCAAATTTCTTCCTTCATCCTGCCATTAAGATCCAAATAATGAAAAAGCAATGTGTGTGACACAAGAGGGTTAAGGAACACTGATTTGGTCTCAACAGGTACTGATGTTTTAGGCAATTCCAAGGCCATCATGCTTGTGCAGACGTATCCCAGAAGAGAAGAAAGAGGCACCTCTTTGAGAGATTAAATAATTTAACCCTGTTGAATAGCTTTTGCTACTTATTCCAAAACTTAAAACAACCAAAATACTAAGTAGCAAAACCTGCTCTTCATAATGAACGTCATATTATTATATTAAAACAAAGGAAGAGATATTTTGATACCTGAGGACAGCATCGTCAAGCTCCTGTGGCCTGTTTGTTGCTCCCATCACAAGTATTCTGTCCTCTCCAGAAGACTGCACCTATGTAACGTAGGGAGGCAAGACAGCTTTCAGTTTGCATGAAGTAGTAATACAACAAAACCAGTCAGAGGCTTGCCATGCATTCAGCACACTGATGGGATCTTACTGTATATGCTTTTTTTTTCCCCCCCCACGCAGTTAGCTTTAAAACGTTCTTTAGATAAATGTAAAGTCAAACTAGGAAAAAGTAAAAAGAAAAAAAAAAAAAAAAGGAATGTAAACACAGGATGCTACGCCCAAGTTATGTTCCTTGAGCCTTGCAAGAGCACAAACGTTACTGTGGAATTGCACGTTACAGTGCTGGAGAAAACCGAGACTACAAAAAGCACTCAGAAGTCATCCAGACAGAATTAGGTTTAAAAAAGCTAGGGACTTTCTGCTGTTGTGGGTTTTAACACCAAACGTTGTTTTAAAGCCTACAGAGAAAGAGAGAATGAAAGAACTTTAGACTAAGGTACAGCCAGGACAACTAAATGGGATCAGATTCATCTAATACAGGTCTCGCAAGAAGCCAGTAATCAAAATGAGAGGCTATTCAATAATACACAGACACGGTAATTTTTCCCCCAATTCACTCAATTGCAAGATTTGATTTTATACCCAAGACTATGGAGACTTACGGCTTCCAGACTTCAGAGAAAACATATGAGCATCAGAGATGCGTTATTATTCAGCTAGTGTCCAATCCTTCATAGACTTAAGTTCATTGCTGCCTTACGGAGTCCGAAAAGTTCCACAAAAATATTGTATGATATAGTTACACCTTGATCTAAAGTTTGCTAACTTACTCGTTCTGTTTAATTTTCCCCTTTTCATTTTAAGAGAGAACCGTGTATGTGTGTGTAGTAATTTCATTATTTGTCCTGATTCATCCCACTTTGGAGAAGTTTTTGCTGATCTCCTTGTCTCTCTATATACTTATCTTCTCCTCCTGTACCTCATTACTATTGCTTCACCACTATAGCATTATTCCACTGTGCTAGCGGAATATAAACTAAGATTGTTCAATACAAAAAACAGTGCTGTGTGACAGAAAAATATTCTGATATTCATTTGTCTGTCCATCATCCCCCTCCCAACCATGAAACCCAGTTCCTTTTCCTGGGTATTACATACATGCTATTAAATATATTCTGACGGTATCCTGTCATCTCTAAGTCATGCTGCCAAGAAAAAAATTATAGCTCAATAAAACCCATACTAAGACAGAAATTAATCCTTCTGATGTGTCAGAGCTGTGTATACCCATGATCTGAACTAGTCTTTTTGAAATCCTCATCCCTCAAGTCTCACCTTACCCCTTGACAGTGCATGCTTTTGTGACACATATGCCTTAAAAACCAAAAAGACACTACTTAAAACCCACTTAATCTTCCATTACTTTGCCAGAATGAAGAGATGCGCTTCACCAAAACATGCAGTAGCAAAACAAGAATTCAACACTGCCTAACCCTCAAGTGTCCCTCTCGCCCTGTAAGAACATTTGTTCTCACAGCTCCTTCATTGCTGCCATTTGTTATCCTTTCTCCTCTGTCCATAGTCTTTCAACCCATTATTTCAGCTCATCTCCAGATTACTACCTTTTACCCCAGACTGAATTTTCTAGAATACTACAGTAAGCAGGTGAAAAATTAACAGCAACAGAAAAAAGCTGTTTGCTGACCAAGGTGGGGGGCAAGGGGGACAGAGCTAAACCCCAACAGCCAAATCCTTCATGTGCTTCATCTGTAGTTTGTACTGGCACCCACTACATCAGCCAATTCAGCTAAATCAAACAATACCCAAGACTAAATACTTACACCATCAAATTCTATTAAAAATTCCGTTTTTAGACGCCTACTAGCATCATGTTCACCTTCTCGTCTTTCACACAAAAGGCTATCAACTTCATCTAAAAAAACCAAAGAAATACATCTTAATTAAGCATACAACATCAAGTCTTCACATTTGCCTAAATTCTTTTGCTAATATAGGGCTCCAGTAAAAGAGATCACATCTTTACTCCTTAGGAGACAGACAGATCTTAGTAAAGTTTAAAAGCTTGTATAATGTGTTGCCCTTTGAATAAGTAACACAGAACACAGATGAGAGAAAGAAATCCCACTGATAATAAACTGCAACGCAGGGCACACAAAACCCATTCTCATGTTTGAAGTTTAATACCTAAATGAACTTACACCATAAAGGTAGTACAGCATTTGTGGTTTTGAGTGCGTTTCTTCCCACTATTAACACCAATTAAATAAAATAACAGTAATCTAACATGCTCTATATGGAACTACTGATTAGCCAGCAGGTCATACCAGAGACACTTGCTCTGCACTGCACAATTACCCAAAGAAGCTTTCCCAATGATTCCAATTTCGTAAGTCAAAATATTTAAGAAAATACACAGAAGTCAACAACATTTAAGGTCTTACCAATAAATATTATAGAAGGTTGAAGTTCTCTGGCTACTGCAAATAGAGCACGTACCAGTTTCTCCCCTTCACCGACCTAAAACAACAATAAACTGGTTTTGGAGGGGGTTTAGAAAAGTGTTTGTTGCAAGGCAGCTAACATAAGGACCTACAGAAAATCTTGCTGTTAACCATTCACACTCAGTCTGCTCATAGGCACTCAGATTATCACTAGTTCAGTATTATGTATGACAGTATTGTTTATGTCTTAAAAGAAAGATTACAACTTCACTTATGATCACAATTGAGTTGTCAAGAGATTTTGGTGTCTAAATTATCAGACTGAAAGGGAGCTGGGACCCACTTCATTTACTTAAAGAAGAGAAAAAAACCCACAACCACTCATTTATATGACAGCCAGGGCCATCCTGAACTGCAAAAGCCTTTGACATTGAGTTATCACAAGCACAAAATTTTTACTTCACAAGTCACTTTTTAAAAACTTTTTGTTTACTATAGACCAACAGTTCACCAAGGACTCATCAGAAGTCTACGGCCTTCTTGAGCCCCAATTACAGACTGTCTTTTCAGATCAGCATCATTTACAGCTGCTACTTACGTATTTTGAAGTCAGGCTTGCTGCACTTATATTAAAGAAGGTAGCATTTGATTCTGCAGCAACTGCTTTGGCCTAGGAAAGAGGGGGAGGGAAAAAAACCCACTTTTTTAAACCATCACATTGAAGATACCTCTCTTCTTCTGTAGCTAGTACTCATGTCCTGATTGACGATTTTGAAAACCCCTATTCCTTCAAAGGAAGGAATGTAAATGCTACAGAAAGCTTCTGTACAGACCACTTACAAATAAGAACGGATGAGCAGTCGAACCACTAGAGAAATTTCCAGACTCCCTTAGACTTCTCTAATCACATCATCTCCATAGCCAACTACAACTTGCTTACTGAAGAATACAAGTCTCCAGCTCCTTTCAATATATCCTGAGTAGACATCTGAAAAAGTTTTAACTAATTCAGGGTAGCAGTTTGACCAAATCACATGAAAAATTACAAGTTTTTTTTTTTCTCCTTACCCTATCTATACAAAAAACATTTTCAGAGGAAAGCTAGTAAAAAGAATCAGTTCAGCCAGAATGCTCATACAAACTACCCTCTTCTTTGACAGTTTCACCATATTCAAGACATTATGATCCCCTGGTTATACAGCTTGATTGTAGCGATTAGCAATTATGTTCCTGTATATAAGACACAACAGATGAGCCCAAGTGAGCTGCTCAACATTCACACTCCCACGCCTCAGAGCTGATCCAGCTTCTGTATCAGCAAAAGGAGCGTGCAGCTGCAGCCGTGCCATGTGATGCAGGACGATGTGCCGGCTCAGCTGCATCAGGACACGCGATGCACCCCAGCTGATGCACACAGCCATTTCACTCCAGTTTCCCCGAATCGGGCACATCAGGCTGAGAAAACAAGCAGCAGCCAGGCAGTTCCACAGCACTTACGCTTTTTGCACAGCGGCATGGATGTGAGACAACCCCTCTTTTTGCTACTGTGCTCCTTCCCCAATTCCAAAATGCACTTCTAGTATGTTTTAGGGGAGAGCAGACCATTTGTGATTAATCATTGATGTACGCAAAGAATTAACCGTGTTACTTTTACTCTCTCTGAAAATGAAACTTGGACTTGCTGGTTTAAGTTTTAAAATACTACTTGTGATATTGAAAAAAATTAAATAGACAACAGTTTAGCAATTCCCTCCTCCGTAAAATCCACAGTTAAGAACAATTTTGCATTTTTTTTATTGAATTGACACATATCCAGGGAGAATATTACTACACCCAAACTGAAAGCCACCCCTCATGGTTACATTTTAATAACCAACTCATGCACGAAATAATTTTCTCACCAACATTGTCTTCCCATTTCCTGGTGGGCCAAACAGCAACAAACCACGTGCAGGAGCTCTAAGTCCTGTAAATAACTGAAAAGTACATCATCATAAGTTACCTTCAAAGACTTAAAGAAAATGTCGATTTACCTTTGTAAGAAAATGGTTTAAGATTGAGGAAGGGCTCACTGGCAACAGTGGTAGCAATAACAGTACAGGGTTTTAGAGAACTAAATTCTATAACTAACGACCTAATGCACTTTGCTATTGTTTCCCACACAACAGTGAAATTGCCTCATGATCATTCTGTGCATAGGGGCACTGTGAAAGAAGTATTAAAGGCAATAACACATTCCACAAGACAGAGCAGCCTAACAGGTTTAAAGCACCAATTGCGTGTAAAAAGGGGGGAACATGGGTGTGTAGTAAGAGAGTTAAAGCAATGTTCCAGCTAACTCCATATGGAAGAACTCTTACATCTTTCTCTTTTTCCTTTTTTTTTTTTTTTTTAAAATTAAATGTAACTTGAGAAGACAAGCTTTGACCAAAACTATTTAGAATATTACTTAGCAACCACCTACTTTCTCTAAGCACTACTGATAATAATCTCCTCCCTCTCACTTTGCATTGAATTAATCTTTCCTACACTATAAAATTGCACCCATCACATGTAGCATCACAGCAAGCAAATCTACAGATTCTCATAGAGTACAATTCTTAAGTTATTCTTGTAGCCTGTTTTTCCCAGCACTTTGTCTTTATTACTTTCCTCAAGAGTTTCAGAGTTCCTTTTTTGGTCTCACACTCACCCCTCCATTCCAGCTTCCAATAATTCCACCAACCAACCAAAAGGAATAGCAGGGAGTCTCTTATACATACACACCATGCCTAACCACCATTGTCAGCAGGCACTCCTTTCCACAATATCCATGATAATCAATGGCTCCATTACCAGTGTAGTGTTTCTAAGACTACTGACCAACATGCATTTTCCCTATTAATTTCATCACTCACAGCATTTTGTTTGCACTTGACCTTGATCACTAAAAATAGTCATCCAGCATGATCCTATTCACTAATACATACCACCTACATTACAAATGGATTGCAGCGCTTTAACCCGGATAACTACATTCCTCAAGTATTTCTGCTTCCCATGTGCATCTCCCGCCTGACTCCTTTTGTTTGGAATCATTCTTTGGGAGTTCCACCATTTTCAGATAGTTCAGACCAAGTCTACAACTCTCCTTCACCTTGATCATTACCCACACAGTTCAGCTGCAACTGCCATTTATCACTGAGACACAGCAAGTTTTTAAAGTTTTTGTTAACAGACTAATCATGCTAAACATGGTCTGAACTAATTGCTAGCATTTCATTAGCATCTTACCACTGAAATGGTTGCAGCCAGTGTTTTCTGTTTATTCACCTCAACTCTTGCTCCCCTACAAAAACACCACTGCTTGTTTAAATATGAATTTGAGTTCAAAACTCACTAAGGTTAACACTGAAGTAGTGTTTAATTTTCTAAATATTCCCCTATAGTTGCCACATCTACCATGTTCATTTACAAGGAATAAACCCAACCTCTTTTCTTCCAAGGGACATTTAAAAATTCCCAGGATTCTCTGCCCTTGTTATATCTCAACCTACACCAAGGTCAGGTCCATTGCTAGCTAGAGTAACATGAAGACAACCTGATTGAAAATATCAACTGTTATTGGAAAGAGTCATAACAAATCCAAGCCTCACATCTCAAAGTCCTTCCCACCCAGCTCATTGTATTAGTGTTACTGAATAACAAACTTGACACGCTAAAGCACTGTAATAACAGAGACAGTACAGTGACATTTTCCTTCTGCGTAAGAATACCAGAGCATGCATATTTGATGCCAAAGCTTTGTTTTCCTCAGGGCTAGTATTCCTAAGATGCTATGCCAGGTTTAGGGTTTCTTCCCCGTGATGCTTCAAAACCAGAAACTGCATTAAAGGAAAGAGGAAGACCACAGAGCAACTCCAGTCACCCATCAATGTGACAAAAGAGACCCACAAGCAAAGAAAGAGCAAACAGAAATTTTGCTTGAATAATCAGCACTGCAGTAAAACATTGCATGCAATTTCTGCAAGAGTCCAGCAACTTTTAGCAAGTCCAGCTTTTAAAAAAAAATAAATTGGTCATTTTCTAAAGTGGCTCAGAGAATTCTAGTCATATATGGACCAGACCTGAATCTAGGCAGTCACAGTAGTTGAGGTACCACATATGATAAATAAAATAAAAGCCTAAATGACCAATTTCCACTCAGCCAAGTAAAGAGGAAATCTGCCCTCAAATGTTACACACCTCAGTGTACTTGCTTGTTCACTACCACACTTCTTCGCACACTCTCCTGCTGTGAACAGACTATTCAGAATGTCTAACCAACATCCACACAGAGAACATGACCACAATACCAGTATAATATTTTTCAAATCATATAGTGTCATGGCTTAATTTACCTACAAAAATCCCATGTGTTTCACTTTTCCAGTTATGGGCTTCGTCCTTTACATGTCCATATAGGGTTGGACACACAGCTATAGCTCTGGAACAGTCAGCCTCACAAATTGTCAGGATTTTTTTTGGTTTGTTTTTTTAGGAGTTTGTGGTTTGCTGGGGGGTTTTTGGGGTTCGTTTTGGTTTTGGTGGTTTTTTTTTTTTTTTTTTTTTTAAGCAACTACCTCAGTCACTTTCTCCAACATTGACTAACCAGAAGATGAGGAATATCATAGTATTTTAACATATAAATTCTTCATTCTTCTTTTCCAAGACGGCTATTGATAGCAATCATAACCAGTGAAGACAAGATTCAAGAGCCCCCACTTCATGTGTGAAGCACAATACATTTCTCTGATTCTGTGACAGTGATAACAAAACCCTTTTGCTTACCTCAGGTCTAAGAGAAGGAAGGATAACAATTTCTTGCAAGGCTTGTTTAGCCAGTTCCTGCCCTGCGATATCATCAAATTTGACAGCTGGCCCACTAACAAAGAAATGGAATACTAATTAGTCTAACAATGAGATACTCTTTTTCAGCTGCAGCTGACTAATTTAATGCATTTGACTATTTACACAGAACCCTTTTGAGGAAATCTACAACTTATATTGCTAAACATTTAAAAATATAAGCATTTCTGATTTGATTTTTCATCCTTTTGCCAAAGTAACAACAGAAAAAAAACCACACCCCAAACACGCACAACAAACAAAAGTACTAATTTTCATTCCAAGTGGACCAAAACTGTACTGAACAAAAACTGTTTTTCTGCATTCAAAAGCCCACTTTTCTTCAGACTTACCTATCAACAATTTCATTGAGGATAAGATTAGCAAGATTACTGTCCACATTTCTAAATATCTTCAAGTCTTTCTTTTTTCGAGGAGCAGTGGTAGGAGTAGAAGGCTTATTTGTTCTGCTATTTTTAGGTGCAGCCTAGAGGGGGGAAAAAACCCAAACAACAATGTGATACCTTTAAAGCGTACTGTTAACAAAATTAATACTACATTTCATACACTCCAATAAAACCTAATACGTTAACACATACCAGATATTCTGATGCTGTCTTTTGCTACAAATCATACTATCATATTCAGTCACAGGTAGAACATCTTAGGCTCCAGTGGAGAGGGGGTTTTTTGGTTTGGGGATTTTTTTGTTTGGTTGGTTTGGTTTGTATTTTTTGGTGGAGTTTTTTTGTTTTGTTTTTTGTTCTGTTTTTAAGATAATTCATTATATTTAACTACGGTATTTTTTGGTGGAGTTTTTTTGTTTTGTTTTTAAGATAATTCATTATATTTAACTACAGTATTTTCCCCCAGCATACTCTAGAAATAAAGCATCACAAACTCTTTCAGATTCTCAATACCCATACACAAAAACTTCTACTGCTGTCATAATTTGCTAGTAGGCCACTTAAAAGCCTTCATATGATAGCAGGAATAATGCTTAACTACACTTACATTCTCTCCATCCTGTTCTTTATTCTACTTTACTGCGGGAGTAGCAAGGGGGAGATACAGATGAAAGGGAAAGACACAAAAGAAATGTGGCATTTTTGTGTCTTATTAATATAGGACTTACTTTTGTATTTCAGTCACAACCTAACCACAGTTTGCTTTGTAATGGGGTTGCAATACAACCTGTGCATGCATGCTTTGGAAGAGAAGGAACACATAGGTGGAAAATTTGTAGTTCTGGAGTAAGAGGGGTTTTTTCATCTATCTTTTACACACTGGGAGAAACATTTATTTTTCTCCTAGGTAAGCTTCCCTCACTTTCCCATGCAATTTTCAAAACAATTATTATCATTTATTACTGTGATCACAATTAAAATCCATCTGTCCATTCAGTCACCTGATGCCTCCCAATTTCTAAAATCCACTCTGCAGCCTAGCTCAAGAGGCTTAGCCAAACATTTAACAGTTTAGGTTGAGGTTTTTTTCCAATAACTTTCTGCTGCTACAATACTGCAATAGAGGCAGTAAATCCAAAGTTTGTTCTGGAATTTACATGGACTTCCCAAGCGTATACCGTTATATTTATCCTTACTATACCTTATGAGTTGAAGCTGCAGGATTAGGTGCTGGTCTAGACACAGAAGGTGTTGATATCCCACTGTAGCTAGGTGTTCTATGGTGACCTGAAAGGCCTGTGGATCCAGTTTTTGCAACAGTTTTTGAACGAGGAAGAGAATTACTCGTGTGTGTTAAAGGATCCTTCTTTTTTGGAACCGCTCCACTTTCTATAAAGAAAACCAATGTCATAAGAACATTTTCAGCAGTCATACTTTTACCATCAATTCTAACTTGAAGATAGTATTGTTGACACATGTAATACAGTATTATAGCAGAATAATACAAGTTTTTAAAGAGGTTTAGTACTTTTAAGGGGATATTAACTGTAGCTTTCTCCTGAAGTTAGATTTTGAATTTTTAGGAGCTGTCAAAACCAACGCTAGTTAGCGATCTTAGAAAAGCTGGAGACAGCCAAGTCCTGTAACAAGGGAAGAACACCATCTATTCCTCAAGACAGAAAAACACAGAACACCAGCCAGAAGATTTTCCTTCCCAAGAACTCCTACAAACAATCATAATAATAATCCCCAAATTTCAAGCCATTAGATTCAGAGCATTCATTCCTTAAGTGAAGTTAACAGGCCAGTTACTTTGGATGCTAGCTAACACTATCTAGCAACTTCCACACAGAAGCTTCACCGAGGCACTCTAATTTGGGAAAATTAAAATACTTATACCTGCAAGCAACTGCTAGGAGCTTTTTCTTACAACTTTGTTTCACTTCAGGAATCTCAAGGTGTAAGTAAATTCTGAATGGACAGCTCTGAAGCAGCTCACCTTCCTACATTTAAAATTAAGTCTTAAAATTTTATATTATACCACTGAATTCAAACACTACCACCAGACATTCCGTTCATGCTTACTCTAATTCACCTCCATGATGGAGCAGAAAGGTCTCAAATTGGGTGACAGATAAAACTTAACATATTGGCCACAGGTCATTAAACTACAAAAGGCCACTTTGGTCTCGAGTAAGTGAAATAGCACTTGATTTCTACATTTTCTGTATGGGATACACAACAAAATCAGGTTCCCTGGCACAGAAATAGTAAGTGTAGAACATCAAAACAGAGACTAAGAGGTAAGAACACTCTACAGTGAGCACGCAGGTTGGTCAGGCCGCTTAACGATTAGAGAGCACAGCATCAGGTCGGGGGGGTTGTGGTGGGAATACAGTACTGGAAGCTGTCTAGTACAGTACTGTTGTCCGAGATGGAAACTGTGAATACCACCTTATTTTATATCCTTCTAAAAGAATTAAGGAGCCTTTTGATTAGATAAGAGAAACATGGCATCAGAGGTAAGGAAGCTCATGATGGATTTCAGCTACAAGTTTCTTCACTAAGATTTTAGAAACCTGCAACTCAGTTTGACTTGTTAGTCGTAAGCAATGGGTCACAGAATTAATTTACAATATTGCAGTTCAGTGAAAAGTAAGTTGAAAGCCTCATAATTTTGAATGCTATGTCTAAAAAATTCAAGTAAGAATACTTCAGTGAAACAGTATCACAGAAGGATCAATTAATTACTACCAAGTTCTCAGCTTCTTTAAACATAAAAGTCTAGCCTACTACCAGCAGCAAATCTCTACAGAGCCTGTAGCTATCCATGAGTTGAACTACTTGGCTAACAAGCTTCTAAAGCCTTTCCTAAGTCACAGATCTACCCTCTTTTAAGAGTTACAGAAACTCCGCAGGGGTCATCATAAACAATGCAGATGTATCAACATGCAAAAAACAAGGGGACTTGAAGAATACAACTAAGCACATTTACCTGTAAGATATTTCTAGGAGGGAAAAAAACCCAAAACTACAACAACAAACAAACCACCCACACAAACAAAAAACACCAAAAAACCCCCCCACCAGAACAAAACTGGCTACTGACTAAAACAGACACAGATCCAGAGCTGGTTTAATTTACTTAGTCATTCCCGCACAGGAATTTCCAAGGCAAAATTCTTCAAAATTAGGCATACTTACTAACTTTCAAGTTCAAAAAGCGGTATATGAATCTGTTAAAAACCACAGCTATTCAACACAGCCTGGTCCAATTTAATCAAAAGGTGGCACTCTAGCTGGTTGGTTTGGGGTTTTTTTTCCCCCCTCCAGCCTCATTTGCACAGCTCATTTAATGGGGAGGCTTCAAAAAGCTGAAGTAGTTTTTCCTCCACCTCCTTCCTCTAACACGTTGCTCAATTACCACACCTTCCCAGAACAAGCCCCATCTATTGAGAACAACACACACACATTGCAATTTTAAATATCGTAAAATTGCACAGGTAAATAGTATTTCAGGAAGCTGGAAGTACGGGGGGTGGGGGAATGGAAAGGGGAAGAGAAGGGTTTAAATACAAATTACAGTTTATTCAAGCTGTACCTCCAGGAATCAAGACCACTAAGTTTACATATGTTCTGTGATCTGTCCTGATGGGTAGCACAGAAAGAAGCACTCATGAACTACTCTTGAACAGTTGTTCAGTGTCAACTCCAGAGGGAAGCTTCGTTTCATATACAAATTTTGATTGAAGAAGCAAGTAAAAAGGTGATCAAACTTTTCAGAATTAAAGATTGTCTAAAGTTTACTTATTTCTAAAGGGTGAAGTGTTTAAGAGCGCATTGTATGTCTCTTGTCAGCCTGACAGCCCCTATTATTTCATTATGTAAAATATGTATTTTGCTGTGACAATGCAAAACCCTCAAAACACATTTCTTATCCATTTGTATTTGTCATCTGCTGAAAGATGGAAAATACGCTGCAGGTGACCTTAAAAACTACCTAACAGAAAACTTCAGCCACTAACAAGGACCTGTTCCACGTTTCAAATGGTAGCACAGCTACACCCATCAGGGACACATCTGTTCTCCTTTCTGAAGTGACAGAGCCACATCAGAGATCTACTGTTGCCAAATTATGGTATTAAAACAATCTTACTGCTACTTGTTCTTCTATTTGAGAAACTCCTTAAAAAAACCTTCAGTATTAAGAGTAGAATTTTTGCAACTTGAATAACATTGCCAATATATGCCTACTATTAAAGGCATACCAACAAGTCCTTCCCAGGGAAAACAGAGATAAAATACTAGCTACTTGCACAGTGCTAATCTTGTGGTAAGAAAAAGAAATTTAATGCTTTCTCTGATCGTATATCATGCTGAGATTTACACATTGAATGTAAAATGGTACACTGGAATTACTGCAATACTATCAGTGTTCTATGCCCAGTAAGTAAGTTCATAAAACTCATAAACACTGCCTTTGGCAAGACTGGCAGAATCTCCTTCCCAAGCCAGTTTAAAAACAAAAAACAACAACCCACAATGTAAAGGGAAACACACATGTCTGAAGAAAAAAAAAATACAGCTAAATTGGTTTATGTCAAATTTAAAACCGCTACAAGAACAAGAATGATGGATACTAAACAATAAACATGTATTTCAAAATAAAGTTTTGGGTCAAGGCTACTTGTCATTACTCTCAAAGACAAATTACTACATAGCCTTCAGAATCTGAAGGGCAAGTGACACTGCTGTACTGCTTATAAAACTTTATTATAAGTCTAACGGATAAATTTCAAGAGAAATCTCTAGCTATTCAGGTAAGTTAGGAAACTATGAATGAGGAACACAGGGACACGTAGTCATTTGTCAGGATCAAGTAAGTTGGTCTGAAAGGCTAACACATACTATCTTGAAAGAAGGAAGAATCTCAATAACATTTTGAAAATATAAAAAAGTGCGGGATAGCCATGAGAATAGAGTATCACACAGAATTAAGAAGCAAAAACATCTTTAAAGACTTTGGCCTTTAAAGGCAAATGAAAGAAAGTAAAGCACTTTTTGACCAAAGAATAGGCAAAAAGGCACTTTCTTGATGTTAAAACTATGAATGACCATGTTTCATACTTCATAAAATCCTGGACTTTTACAAAGTCCATCCTAATTAGGCAACAGCACAGATAATACTTCACATAGATGGAAAAATGAAGCTTATGCCAGAGCCTGTGGCTCAGTACATCTGCAGTACCTCTGTTTTCTCAGTAACAGCAGCCCTCTTATCTCAAGTAATCTGCAAGCTGATTTTGTAGTTTTCTAAGAATTTGTCATCTACTTTGTGTTTTTAAATGACTGCAGCTATGTGAAAATATCACCTTTATTGTAACATGTATAAAGGAAGTACTTTTAAGAAAAAAGTGTAGCACCAACGTGTTCTTACAAACAAGACTCCCTCTCCCTACACCCCCCCAAAAAAGAGAAAGCAAGCATAGGCACCAGCAAATTTCGAAATTCAGACATCAATTAATAGGCTGACTTTCCCGGTGCTATCAGGCACCCCACAGCTGCAGAAGTTCAGTACTCTGTGTAAACCTCTAACTTCCACAAGTTATGAATCTAAAGTTTACCTTTCGCAATGTAAATGCAAATGGAAATGGAACAAGCCTCTTGAAGTCTTGTTCAAAGTAATCAGTAGATGCCTGGTACCTCACTCTTTTATGACCTGCTCTTTAGCCCTTCTGTCCCTCTGAGCCTGGCAAATGAAAGTTTCTCCTTTAGCCTACATTCCTTTTCAGAAAGTCGGAAGACACTTTCTCAGAAGAAAAGCATCCCCAGAAGAGCACGGCCCTTTGCAGTTGTGTCGCTACTCTTTCCTCCACAGTTTTGCAGAAGAGGTTCAGCCATCCATCTGCTGTTAAGTCACCAGGAATATGACTCCAAATGGCTAAACTGACTAGTACCAATTTTCACAAGTTTACCAACAGTGACCACTGTCTGCTACAGGAATTTCTGTAAATAAAAACACTTGCCACAGAACTGGCAAAATGTTTCTTCATATCCAGTAGATGCCAATGGGTATTCTGTGCTTTGTTACTAACAGATTTAAGTTACTAAATTAACATTTTAAAAGTTCAGTATAACTTTCTCCTGCAGCATCCAATTCTGAGATATGTTGAGAAAAAGGTACGAAAACATATAAAGGAAAGAGCTTAAAGAAAAAGCTGTTCATATCAAACCAGATGGAGCATATTGTCAACTTTTGTATGTATATGTATGTATTTGTTTATTGAATCTTTAGCCAACCAGGTAAAAAAACCAGAGTTGCAGTGGATCATTTAAGGTAGAGAGCTCTCAAGCTCAACCTGCATAGGAGCTTACACTGAAGAGCCTTTTTAACTACATCTTTCTGACAAATGCAGTTAACAAAAATACCACATATACAGTAATCTAAAGTAATCTAACATGACATAATTCCACTACTTTAACCTCTCATACATTAGAAAGAATAAAACCAAACAGCAAGATGACTTCAGAACTAGAAATGGAGCTAAAAAAAAAAAAGCATATGATTTACACTAAGTTTCAAGTTTAGTTACTTTAAAAACTGAATGCTGTTCTTGACTCAGTAGACAGGCTTTATGAATTCCATTGCTTGTTAGCTCTCTGTTTTATTTAACTTCATTATAGTCTACAGTACAAATTATCAGTTGAGATCACAGTTGTGACAATAGCTTACTGTTGGCTTAAAACATTCCCTGAAGACAATTCACAAACCTCACAGTAACTTTACTTCTTGCGTATGGACAAACTAGTTTACTTCCGGTATTTTAGTATCCCTGGTGCAGTCTTCTGGGAAAGGATAAAAACAACCTTCTTCGACAAAAAGCAAGAGCTGTTCTTTCCCCCCCACCCCTTGTTTTAATTGTGTATCACTTTCTCAGAATAAAAAACCCTGGAATTTAAAGCAGCGTAATGCAAATGCACATTCACTCTCACAATATCATAAAGGAAGAACTACTTATGTAGGCACAATATATAAGCTACATATCCTACATCGACTTTGACACTTTCTAAACCAGGTTTAATTTCATTCCTTTAAGAATATAACATGAGAAATATTTTCTAAAATGCTGTCCTAGTAAATAGTTTTGGATGCTAGGATAGTCATTGTAAGAGAGAACCGAATACTACAAAATAAAACAGTGTTGTCCAAGTCATAGAAAGGACGGAATGTATTTTATATAAAGCCTTTAAAAATAGAAATATAAAACAATTTTTTAAAAAATTGGTGGGGCTAAAACATAACATTGTATATTTTTCCCTGTAATACAGCAGAAACTGAGAGACATCCCCTCAATAGGCACTGGTAAAACCAAACCCACCTGACTGGAGATGTCCATTGCGGCATGCCAGGTTAGTACTGTCATTATAGACCTCCATTTGCGGCTTGGAAATTTGCAAAACTGCCTGCAGCTTCTCTACATAGTAGACAGAGGGGGAGGGAGGAAAAAGGACAAAATAAACAAACAAAAAATAAAAACGAACCAAGAAAATTTATGTATGTTGAACACACAAATGTCAAATTCGGCTTTGTTATACTCGATACAGGGTTAAAGATAGAAGGAGTATTTCTAACTATTCTACATGTTTAGCAAATTTGTAAGAAAATTGTCAGTATGAGCATGACTGAAAACAGCTTTATAACTAGCCATTTATGGCTGAGTTAATTACAACAATCTTTCCAGGCTAGTGATTGTAACTACTTCCCAAAAGCAATGGTCAGGATTAATTCAACTTCATATACTAAATACTTGTGTTGATAGCCCATTTCTGAAAGTCCTCCTCAAGGTGTTACTTTTGACCAACTGCAAGGAGTCACCACTTTCCTTCATATTAAGTGTTTCACTTTAGTAACAGCCAGTCAACATTTTACAGAAACCTCAACTGGTCAAGCAAAACACGATATATGCACTATGATGATGACTTTCAAGATCCCTATTTAGAAATATAATTGCCTTGAAATTAAGTCAATAAAATTGTCATGCAAGCTGTGTTCTTTGAGAGGATTAACTTCAGAAACATCTCAATACAAGATTTAGAAGGTTAAAGATTAAGGAGAAAGAAATTAACTTTAAGAAGTCATGATAAACTAGCCAAAGCATAATTTGAAGAGGTATAAGGCTGCAAACAACACAAAACAAGAATTAAGTCTCAGGACTATTTGTTCTCCACAGCTCACCTACCACGCCTGCTTTTCCCACTGCAAGTCAAACCTCTAGGTCTTACTTTTGGGGCGCTTTACCCCCTCTCCCACTTTTATTTCACACACACACACACACTTTTTTTGTAAAAACAAAACATGGTCTGTAAGGATACAAGGCATACATTGTCACACTTCCCCTGCCCCCCCCCCTTTTTTTTTTCCTCCTCTTCCCCAATAGATAACAGTACCAAGAAGCTGCAGAAAAACAGATGTCCAAGTAGAGGAAGGATGTCCTCTGGCGACATGAAAGCACATACTGCAAAAGAAGCCCAGTGCTACTAAAAATGTGCACAGCTAAGATCATAAATGCCCTGACTGGAGGAAGAATTGCCATTCAGAGCTTGCCAACTGTACAACCAACAAGCATGAACAGTCCCTTGCTTCTGCTTCTTTGTCTGTTACAGATCTTTTTCCAATCTTTCTGCTTTATTCCTTTCTTCTTCTGCCTGCTCCTGATCATTCGCCACTCAGCTTCGCTGAGAAGTGTCTTTAGATCCAATAGTTTAAGTGATGGTTTGATAATAATATGGAGACCGAACAAGATGTGATTTAGAGTGAAAACTTAGTAGCCAGAGGCAAATATGAAAAGCTAAAGTTCAAGATTAGTATGTGCACCCGGGGTTTACTTTGTTTTAAATTGAAAGCATTGAAGAGTCAGGTACAGTAAAACAAGAAAAATGTTAGTCACACAAGAACAGACTACAGACAACCACAAGCTTTGTAATTTGCATGAAGTTCTGCTAAGAAACTGCCCTCTAAAGTCCTTTTAGTATGACTGACCACAAACACAGTGTACTATTTCAGTGGGTTTCTAGCAAGTGACCATAATAAAATCAATTGGCTTGGGCAGGGATTTAGGAAATGCTATTTGCTTCAATGCTACAGTTTAAGACTGGGGTTTTACCACAATTATCAATGGCTTAGCAAGTTCCACATATTCCAGAACTCCAAAACTGCAACAAAGAACCTAATCCAACTGTTGTCCAGTTTCAATTCACACAGTCTTCCCATCATATTACCTATTAACATGTAATCATAATATTGCACATAAAATCACATAAAGCAAATATATCACTTTGCTTGAGAGCCAGTGTGGCTGTAGAGCCCTCTGGAATAATGAAAATAAACTGAGCTATTAAATATTACTCCAAGGAATTAACAGGACACCCTATCACCTTCCATTTAAACGCTTTCTCCCTATGTCTCCAGACATTGGAAAAAAGAGGTTTACAGAATCTCATTCATTATTTCTCCTTGATGTTGACATAAACCTACCACTAATAATAATAAATTATTATAATAATAATTATATTAGCACCATATAAACACCACTACAGCCATTGTCTTATTTAGGCAACACTAGACCTTGAGTTGAAGGTAACCGATTTCTAATAAAAAGAATGTTACCCTATAGCACAAGCCTGAAGCAAAAATACCATCACCTCCAATACAGTGGGAGAATCTCAAAAGGTGTCCATTTAAGCCCATATCTATACAGGGGCAGAATTATTACCAAAGAGGATACTAATGACAGATATTTGAACTATGTGCCATGTGCATCCTTCAACCAAAATACTGAAGCTACACATAGTACACAGAAAGGAACTTGGGCTGACAGAAATCTGTCCCCCTACAGAAAGTCTCTCTGAAAGAAGTGTGACCAGCAGGTCAAGGGAGGTGATTCTGCCCCTCTATTCCAGGTGGGGACCTGGAGTCCAGCTCTGTTGGAACGAGTCCAGAGAAGGGCCACAAAGATGATCAGAGGGCTGGAGCACCTCTCCTATGAAGACAGCCTGAGAGAATTGGAGTTGTTCAGCCTGGAGAAGAAAAGGCTCTGGTGAGACCTTAGAGCAGCCTTCCAGTACCTGAAGAGGACCTGCAAGAAAGCTGGAGAGGGACTTCTTAAAAGGGCACGTAGTGATAGGACAAGGTCTAATGGCTTTAAACTGAAGGAGGGTAGATTTAGATTAGATATAAGGCAGAAATTCTTCATTATGAGGGTGGTGAGGCACTGGAACAGGTTGTGCAGAGAAGTTGTGGATGCCCCATGCCTGGAAGTGTTCAAGGCCAGGTTGGACAGGGCTTTGGGCAAGCTGGTCTAGTGGAAGGTGTCCCTGCCCATGGGAGGGGGGTTGGAACTACATGATCTTTAAGGTGCCTTCCAAACCAAACAATTCTATGGTTCTATGAAATGGGAGAACACAGATTGGTACAACACATGTATACCATTAGAATTGAATAGTGCTGCACTGGACATTGTGGTTATCTATCTTTAGGAACAGCAAACTGCTAAGGTTTATGTATTGACTGTAGAAAACAAATATCCTCCAGCGATTCTAAATATATAAAATATAATGATTTTAACATGGGTGGATCAGTCACCCAAAACCCCATTTTTACATCTTTTCCTGGTGGTTTCGAAAAGTAATGCTGCCTTCACTATACATAGAACTAGGAAACACACTGTATGATCTACTAGCTTGCAATTTTCACAGTGATTAATAAGAGCAGTGTTCCAACCTAAATGTAGTGGAGTGATGTAAACCAACAAAGTTTACCACAAGATTTTAAATTTAAATCAAATATTTTGCTAGACATTATTAAATGAGAATGAAGATGCAATATTTAAATCACAAATGGCGTATTTTATTATCACAGCTTCTTCATATCCTGATACATTTTTCTTATGTTATTGCTGCTCTTTATCTTACATTACTAGGTATTTGTTACTGGCATCTCCCAGTACAAGGCTCTGTGACTCGGGCTCAAGTATGTGCTTCTCCTGTAGTAACGTAAACACAGCAGACTGTCGTTCCCAAGGACAGGACTGAAGAGTATGCACTGTGAAATACAGAAGAGGGAATGTGATATTAGTCTTAAGGACTATGCAGTACGTAAAGTAAGCATTAACTCTGATCTGACTTGCCTGACAGATGCCAGCGCGGGAGCCTATGGTTGTTATCTTGGAAGGAAAAGCAGGAGGTGTAAAACTGTAGGTGTCAGGCCTACTGAAGGGGGTGTGTGTGTTTGAATGTTGCATTACGCTGGCTTAGTTTGTGGATAGGTGGAAGCTGTTGGTCTCTGTGAGCAGAATATTCCAGTGCCTGAAAGTGTTACGCACATTTGTGCTTAAAGAAGGTAACGTTATCCTGGGCAAGAGTGAATTAGAATTGCAATAGATTATTGTTGTTCCTTAATATATATATTATTTGTAGGTAAGAGCTGTCTCCATTTCTATGATGTTCTTATTGTTAAATATATTCTTGTTTTTTCTGATGTGCCTATAAAATATATGCACTGATATATAGTAAATAGTATGATCTTAGCATTATATAAGATTGTGTTTTCTGGAAGTGGTTTTGCTCTTGGGTTCCAGTAGACCTCTGCCAAATAAGGTTTCACAATATATTGCACAGATGCCCCCCCACCCCCATTTTGTGTTTATGACTACTGTTTTATGAAAATATGTTATGTCTTACCTGCTTCAGGTCATGTAATTTCTTGCGTATTTAACCTGAAAAGTGATATTTTTTTTTTTAGTATGTATTACACATCAAGAGAACATTTACAAGTAATTTAAAAAAGCACCTGTGTTTCTGCTCAAAAATACTACTTCTGCATTAGGTCTAAATTAACTCTTCAGTGTCACAATCTGGGTGGTCTTTTTCTGCCATGATATCTCAGGCTCAAAATGACAGATGATTGGTAGGGTAGATGCAGATTAGATATTAGGAAGAAATTCTTTACTGGGAGGGTGGTGAGGCACTGGAACAGGTTGTGCAGAGAAGTTGTGGATGCCCCATACCTGGAAGTGTTCAAGGCCAGGTTGGACAGGGCTTTGGGCAAGCTGGTCTAGTGGAAGGTGTCCCTGCCCATGGGAGGGGGGTTGGAACTACATGATCTTTAAGGTGCCTTCCAAACCAAACAATTCTATGGTTCTATGAAATGGGAGAACACAGATTGGTACAACACATGTATACCATTAGAATTGAATAGTGCTGCACTGGACATTGTGGTTATCTATCTTTAGGAACAGCAAACTGCTAAGGTTTATGTATTGACTGTAGAAAACAAATATCCTCCAGCGATTCTAAATATATAAAATATAATGATTTTAACATGGGTGGATCAGTCACCCAGGAGAGATCAGGCCTATGAACACCATCAGAGCAAGATTTATCCACTCATCTGAATAACTGCATAACTAACACACCCTAAACCGTGCCAGAAACAGGGGTTGCCACCAATTCAAGTGGTAGAACTAGGAAGTCCCTAACAGCTAGCACAACTCAGTATTGCGACTGGACTGCCAAAGCGATCAAGTCACCCTAAGGTGCTCTGGAGTAACTTAAGCTTTCAGGCTGTCTCACAGTAGGGCTTTAAACAGAATACAATACAGTAATTTAGACTCGAGATGAAAACAGGGCTCAAAATAGCAAAGCTATCATCCAAGGTAACTAGCCACATCCTCTTGGTCTAACATTAAAAGGCACCAGTGGTGTGATGACACATGGTGATAACATGTGGGTGTGATCAGACACCACACTCCCATCAGTGGTGTCAAACAACCCCATCAGTGGTGTCATGCAACTTAAACTTACACCAATGATCCAACATACTTCAAAAAAATCAAAGCACCGAGCACTTTTAAGGGACAGTTATAATCCATATTATTCAATTTTCACTTTCTATGTATTACTGATATAACTTGCTTGACTGGATGGCATTTCAGTTAGGTAGTCTGCAATCACATCTCTGCCTAGGAAGCAGGATGAAATATTTGACATCATTGTCTACTTTAAGTCTGGTTTATCCTGCCAGTTAATGCAATAAAGGACTTCGTCTACTCTCCCTTAAGAAATGGAGAAATTCCACAGGGCTAGAGGAAAACACTCTTTGATCTTAAGAGTTGGATTCATAGAAAAAGATCACTTTATTAAACCTTAAGAGCCTCAGGTTTAGTTTGGCTACAAAAGCATCTCTACAGCACTTAAAAAATTCCAAATATCTGTTATTGTAAGTAACAAGTTAAAAAGCTATGTTTAGAATTGCACATGCATTTCAACTCTAGATTACCTTATATTTCCACAAAATCCATGTAAAATTACATATAAACCAATAAAACCAGATGCTGTCAATACCTAAAAGTTGGTTGGGTAGTATAACAAATATTACTCAAATAGATCCATAATGGTCAAGCTTGCAGGGATTTAAATCCATTGGAATACCTCTCCAAACAACATCTTTTTCCTTCCTAAAGGGCAGATGACTTCACTTGCTCCTCCCTATCCAAATTTTGTACTTGGGTACATTGTTCGAGGCAGATCCTTTGTTCAAACTGAACAAGAACCTAAACTTCTCATAATGTCAAAGTAAAAATTTGTCATATTTGACATCACCTTGTGCGATAAGCTCCATTACATCTGTTTACCTTTCCATCTGCACTCTGAATGAAGAATACAAATAGCATGTGATCATGCATTCTGGTAGTAAAGATGAATGTACCAGCTTGACTTCAACTTTACGTTTTTTGCAACGTTTACCCTTTTTAACTTTTCAATCAGAGCACAGCAAGTAAGCCACTTAATGCCATTGCAAGAGCTACAACAGTAACACAAGCAAGGATGAAGCACTACCCACAAAATGCAGATATTACTACAGTTCAAAGAACAGCAGATTTTTTTAAAGAGATCCTAATTACTTGCAATTAGGATGTCAGCAACAAGCTACACCTTGAAGATTATTAGCACATAATCACAGTCACTCTTTTGTTCCCTAGCCTGCCTTTAACACTAATGAGTAGAAAATATCTTTTCTGCACATACTAAGGTTCTACCGACAAACAACCGTAATAAAGCATAGAAACTGGAAGCTTCTTTCACCCCATGTTCCCATCACTTTTTTCAAAAAGTAAGGACACCAGGAACTCAAGGGAAACAAAAGGGATTCACTTTCTTGTGGTTATCACAACTTCCCTGTCAATCACCAGTCAGGACCACAGAATCACAGTCGAAGAGGAGAAAAGAGCCTGAGTTTTCCTGTCTGTCCTATATGCTCCTAGGAGAGGGAGTTAGCAGAACACAAGACAACACAGTGCAAGATTAAAGCTGCAGATACACAAGTTAAGCTCAAGTACATTTGTTAGTTTTCCCTTAAAGAGCAATTAAGAAAAATTATTTTCATTTTACTGCCTGAACTGAAAGCATCTCCAAAGTTCTCAGTTTAGAGAACACACTACACAAAGCTGTGGTTTTGTTGCTTTATGGTGGGGATCTTTGTTTATCATGTACAGTAATCCTGCCTGTTTTACTCTGTCTGTCCATTAAGAACTTATATACAGCACTTTATTTTGATAACACTAAAACTATGCAACACTATGCTTCTGAAAAGAAGTGATCTTACCTGCTAGTCTTAAAATAGAACATCACTAGACAAAAATTGTGAGAATTAGGATTTCACAACCTTACGGTCAACATTATGCTAAAGAATTATTATTACAGTCCATACTAATAATTAGGAAAATTGCTATTTAATTGACAGCAGAATTAACAGAACATGAAGTAGTTAGACTTACAGAAGGCACACTTAGCATTCACGATCAACTATGTATCGTAAGTTTTACTAGAGTTCTAACACAGAAATCCTAACTCCAACAAGTTAGTCAAGACTTCCTCAGTTTGTGAGTCAAGCATGCTATGCTATAAAGACTTCTCAGTTACTTTTACACCTCTTTCTTAAGGCATAGGGAAGCGGGTCATGAGATTCCAATTTCAAAATCCATCAACAGCATTTAAAAAATATTACTTACTCTCCACTAAAAACTAAACTTATGAGACCCTATGCAGAAAATGACTCCTTCACTTCAAAAATCCAAGTAGTATTTTAGAAGAATGCATTATGTGAAGCTGTGCAAATAATGACAAACTTTCCAAAGTCATGAATTGTAACTGGTACCTAAAAGCTGCAAGCGATCCTTGGCCATTGCCAAATTTGTCATCATTTTAGATTGCAGACGTCGAGCCCGTTCACACTGATCACCTTACAAAGAAAAAAATCAATGTTAAAACACAATTTGGCAAATTCACTTTTCTAAGGGCTAAACACTTCACACTCAGCCTTCCCTCCTCTTCCTCCCACCCCTTATCTACCCCCACCAAGGAACACTGTTGCAAAACTAATGAAAAAATCGTAAGGCTTTCTATTTCATCAAGAATTTAAAGTTAGTCGACACTATCTGCTTTGTAACATTGCTCGTAGAGTGATGAGAACCCAAGCATTGCTTTGCATATTCTCTAACATCTCATGTTCTTTGTCACTGCATTTTTCTAAACAGAAGCCAAAGAAAAAAGATTTTTGAAAAGCTTGAAAAGTGACTGAGAGGCAAGTACAATTTGAAATAATTCACTTTGGCAAAATTAACAAATTTAAATTCAGTTGACTGTGTCCCTTTACATTTCAAAACACGCAGAATTATAGACATTAATATCACCACTTCCTAAAAAATAACGTCTGCTGAAGTCAAGCTTTTTTTTTTTTTTTAACTGTGCAATTTAGACAGGTTGTATCAAATGCCGCTGGTATTGCTGTGTAAATAACACATCACCATACACTGTTCACAAATATTTCTAAACATTGCTGAGGAACGGAATAGCAGTCTGCAAAAGCAGTTAAAGGTTTGGGGTTGGGGGGGTATTATTATATTATTCTGAGGACAAAAATTCTTAGCGAGTCCTTCACTATACCTATTTCTCCATGGTACATACCTGTTTCTACATTACAGCTTAAAGTGTTTCCATATACACAGATGGCTTTCTTCCTGTGTCGGAAATGTTCAGCTATTTTGGCATAAGCTATTCAGAAACGCAACGCTAGACCATTCCAAATTGGGGTGTTTCTTTTTTTAGTTATACTGAAGGGAATATAAAATTCTGCGTAAGTGAGAACATGAACTGTCAGCTTTGGCAAATCAAATCAGAACGCAATATTTTGGCATTCCCATCATATAAGAAATCAAGTGTTTTACTTTAGAATTTTCATGAACTGCTTATGATTTTGGATAGTCTGAAAATATTTGGAGCAAGATTTGCATGTGTTACAGACCACAACATTAAGGTAGAACAAAGAAACGGACCAGTGTTCACCTACAGCTAAAACAGGAATAAGAAACATTGTTATGAATTCATTCATAGAGCAGACCACTCCTAGCACCTACCATATTTAGCAATATTGATTCCTCACTTTGAAGAAGCCATAAACCAAAATCTTTTCCACAAAACTCAAAACTGGCTTACCTTGACCAATTACTAAGACAGCTATTCCTTTTTCCAGTTCTTCAATTCCTTTCTTATACCATTCAACAGCTTGTTCCTTTTGTCCTGCTTAAAAAGGAAGCGAACCCATTATTTTCTGTAATGAATTAAAGCTTAGGAATGGTTCCATATAATGCTATGTAAAACAAGAGGACAGAATAGATAATTTAACAAAATTCTATGATTTAAAGAAACACTTAAAGGGACACTGTCAACTTCATATCTACTTAGTTTCAAATAAGCTTTTCTATTAAAAACACGTACTACACCAGCCTCAAATCACTTTTACCTGTTTTAGGAATACTTCTCCATGTACCTTAAATAGATCATTCACTTACAAAAAAAAAAACCAAACCCAACCAAACAAAAAACAACAAAACCACCACCACCACAAAAAAAAAAAGGTAAAAAACCTAGTCTACACATGTTCATTTCACCATTTCTGTTGTGAGTGAGTAATTTTTATTTCTGGAACATTAAATTGAGACACGCCTCTTAATCTTCCAGTGGCAGCCAATACCGGAGTAACACTAGAAGCATGGAAACTCAAGAAGAAAAGCAATGAGTCTAAGATACTACATGAGTAAGATAAGAGACACCCTTCCTCTGGTTAACTTTTGTACAGAGCAGCTCATTTGTCATGGGGGTATTTCTTTGTTCATCCTACCACGAAACTGCTGTATTGCAGGTGTTTGTCAATTTTCACATGAAGCGCAATACACGTAGAATTAAGAGTACACCTCCTGTAGCAACAATGTTGTAAATGGATATTACAGCAAATGCAAGCGTGCCTATGCCTAACATGTATTCTGCGACACCATGACAGCAAATAACCCATTGAAGAGATATGAATATCTAGTTCATATTGCTCCCCTTCCGTAAATACTCTGCATTAAAAAGATACTTGCCTGCATATGAAACATACTTTTGCGAGTCAGCTATGTCACGCTATGCGTGCCTTTCCACACAGGAATACGGCACATAAGGTATTACAATTTAAACCTGATTAGCATATTAACAAGCTGCTAGAAAAAACCAAAAATGCCTAGAATGAAACCTGCAGATATCATTATCCATACATTTTACAAAACTATTCTTAAGTGCCAGTTACCAGTGATTGTGCTGCTTCTGCACTCAAATCTTTTGATAACTTCAGCCCCAAACCTATTTTCTAGCAAATTTTAGTGCCGGTAAAAATATTTCAATACATTTCTAGAGTCCTCTTAAGGGTTTTCTCTTGCTCCTCTCTAGATGCAAAATCTTTTAATAACATTTGGCAAGTTTCCTTATGCAGGTAATTTCACGCTTTGCTCTTCTTGCCAACACAAACCACAGGAGCAGCACCTTCCTACAGTCGTGTACATCACACGCCTTGCCAATCATTTTAGTTCTGCCCTTTCTCCATCAGCCTCATATATCCTGACTGTTAAGGACAGAGCTAGACAAATCAAATCATTGGTCTTTGATCCTCTCTGTAGCCTTTTTTCCTTTAAGCTTCTGCCCATCACCTACAGAAACAGTTTCAACTGCAGTGTAAATCTAATGCTGATTATGTCTAGCTATTATAAAACAAAATTGAGATGATTCCAGCCACCTCTGCTATTGCCTGAATTCCTTTGCTATTCTGAAGGGCACCTGTGAACATGCCAAGGTTGTCATTAAAATCTCAATTCCACTTTTTAACTGGAGAAGTTTTACCAAACCAAGCTGTTTGCAAAGGTAGTGCTCTGCATCTGCACAGAATGATTTACTAGGTCTCAGCGATTAAGACATTAAAAGTACAATAAGAAAGTCACATTCCTTAGAAGTCATTGATTTGCTGTACCGAGTCTGGCTGGGATGGAATTAATTTTCTTCATAGCAGCCCCCTGTGGTGCTGCGTTTTGGATTTGTGACTGAAACTGTGTTGATAACACACCCATGTTTTGGCTATTGCTGAACAGCTCGCACAGCCTCAAGGTTTTCTTTTTCCCACTCTGGATCCCCAGCGAGTAGGCTGGTAGTGCACAAGAAGTTAGGAGGGGACAGGTGCAGGACGACTGACCCAAACCAGCCAAAGGGGTATTCCCTATCCTGTAATGCCATGCCCAGCAATAACAACTTGGGTAGAGGAAGAACAGGGCAGGGGGGGCTGTCTTCCAAGGCAGCCCTTGCTCAGAAACTGGCTGGGCAATGGTAAGCAGCTGCCTCTGCATCACTTGCCTTCCCCCCACCTCTTTCCTTCACCACCTATTAAGGTGTCCGTATGCTGAACCACAAGTTTTCTCACTTTCGCCCTTCCTGTTCTCTCCGCTGTCCCAATGAGGGGAATAAACAAGCGGCTATGTGGGTGCTTAGCTGCTGGCTGGGGCCAACCCACCTCATGCGCCTTCTCAGTCCCAGGACATGATGTTAAGCTTGATTTTGAAAATACCAAAACAAGAATATTAATTTCCCTAATAATTCAGAAGCATAAAAATTACCAGTAGTGCTATCATAATTACTGGGGCGTGCATAGCTTCCAGAGCAGCAAAACCGACAGGTAATTAACAGGATATTAGACAATCCAGAAATCCTAACCATTTCACATACTACGCCTAATAAATTGTTTCCTGTTGGAAGTTATAAAAAAAAAACAAAAAACTTGTTTACATATCAAATAAATTCAAAGCATGTATTCCAGTAAAGGCAGATAAGCAAATAACAAGTCTGTGTATCAAGGGCAAGCAAGTTCTTTCTCAGTGAAATGAATACTGTATTTGCAGGGTTGTAACAGCTTTGCAACTGCTTGTGTTGGCAGCAAAGATTTATTTTCTTACTAATGTATGACCTGTGCAGCTAATGACAACTCTAAAAATATCTATAAAGCAAATCCATTATTAAAATTGGTATTTGAAGGCATACCCTTGAAAACTACAATGAGCAAGAAGCCACAACAGCGGAACAGGCATCTGATGATTTAAGACTTAGCTACTCTTCACAGAGCAGTCATCAAACCCCCGAAGTTTCAAGCTACCTCACCTCCTTTCATGCTTTGCTCCTACGACCCTCAGCGCTCTTATACTGCACATCTGTTCTGAACTAACCTTGCTGCGCATGGTGGGGATTTTTCCTCCCAGTGCTTACCACTGCCACTCCCAAATTATCAACGCGAAGCAAGACACATCCCTCGCTTTTATGATGCTCTCAGCATGTAGCTTCTATTGAAGGCCTACTCCTGTATTTTTTAACCTCCTCCTCTAGGATAGCAGTTTCACTAAAGCTCAACTGAAAGGCCATAATAAGGTATTCTGATAGTTCCAGAGAATTTTAAAACCCAGCAGAGCATGCCCCTAAGGACTACCTTTTGGCTGCTGCTTTTAGACTAAATGGCTAAATCAGATGCACTAGCGATTGCTTTTTTTTTTTTTTTTTTAAATCCTCTAGACAGGGGGGGAAAAAAAAATTCCTCACTCCTATGTTTTATTTAATTGAACCTTAAACACCCTCCTTAAGATCTTCTGGTCACATAGTGATAACTTTTTAAGAATAAGCATGACAAACAGTTTAAAAAATATTTTTAAAAAGCAACTACCAAAATATGAATAAATATTTCTTTCCTTAAAAATCAGATGACTCCAAACGGGCAGTTTGAGAGCAAAGTTTCCTGCAGGCTCGCTCCAACACTCCTGCCATTTGTCAGGCAGTACCTCAAGCGTTGCACCCTTATTCATAGAATCATAGAATCGCTTTGGTTGGAAAAGACCTTTAAGATCATCGAGTCCAACCTTTAACC